ATCAATCATCTCTCCAATGCTGTTTAACATCTATATGAGGCTGCTAGGTGGGGTCGTCAGGGGGTGTGGGGCATTGTGTCACCAGTACTCTGATGCCACACAGCTCTACATCTCCTTTTCATCTACCTCAGTGGATGCCATCCTATCCCTTCAGCGCTGCCTGGAGACTGTTGGAATGGATGCAGTCGAATGGGATAAGGCTGAATCCGGAAAAGACAGAGTTCTTGAGGGTGTGCGGTCCTTCCATCAGTGGTATAGGTAACTCCCTTTCTTTTGGGGGGACAACCCTTGCCGCAAAGAGTGAGGTCCTCAGCTGGGGGGGTACATCTGGACCCAGCGCTTACCATGGAAACCCAGGTGGCGTTCGTGGTCCGTTCCACCTATTTTCATCTATGGCGAATTGTCCAGCTGTGACCCTATCTTGATGGGGGGGCACTACTCTAGTCCATGCGCTCGTAATCTCGAGATTAGATCATTGTAATGCACTCTATGTGGAGCTACCTTTGAGGCTAATGTGAAAACTTCAGATGGTCCAGAATGCAGCAGCCAGGCTTCTTAGTGGGGTGAGAAAACACCAACATATCTCCCCCACTCTGGCTGCTCTGCACTGGTTGCCCATCCGTTTCCGCGTTGACTTCAAAGTGTTAATGATTACATATAAAGCCCTAAACGGTTTGGGACCTCACTATCTGGCAGATCGTCTTCTCCCATCCAGATCTCCCCGAATCACTCGACATAGCCAGCAGGGACAGCTGAGGGGCCTAACGCCGAGAGAGGCCCGGAAGGAAAGAACAAGAAACCGGGCCTTCTCGGCAGTGGCCCCTCAGCTATGGAATAGCATAGAAATCCGTCTGGCTCCCTTGCTGGGTGTTTCTTTAATTTTCCCCATCTTGGTAATGTATATAGAAATAATTTGTAGGATTTTATTATGTATATTGTTAGTTTTTATCTATGTAAGCCGCCCCGAGTAGACTTTGTCTAGGGGGCGGGCTATAAGTCTAAAAAAAGTAAAAGTAAGAGTAAAGTGAGAGTCAAACACACAGGACACTGGAGTTTGTAATTGGAAGGTGATATCTTTTTTGATTTATGCCACCTGGAATTAACTATTTATCTTAAATTAACTGTTAAATATTTTATATTGTTTTTAGTATATGTTGTGAGCCGCCCAGAGTAGACTATGTCTAGATGGGTGGCATATAAATGCAAATAAATAAATAAAAATAAATAGATCTTTTCCAGTAAGTTATGCAAACCAACAGTATCTCAAGTTAAGTTGTTCTCTCTTTCTACTGTCCCCAACCCTGCAATGTTGTCTTTTCCAGTAAGTTCTGCTCAGATGCAGATTTCAAACTAAGAGCAATGGCTTGCTTTACTGAGACAATTTGTCTCATGTTAAACATTCTTCTATTCCTACTGACCTCCCGTTTTCCCAGCAATATTGTCTTTTCTAGTCAGTTCTGTATTTTCTTATGGGCGTGGTAAGATAGCCTCAGTTTACTCAGTTTCACTCTAGTGAGAATTCAGGCTTGACTTGATTGAGCACCCAGATTTCTGCTTTTCTGGATGGCTTTTATATTTGTACAGCTCTCCTCCAACAACTCATTCCTGCATTCTGTGGAGTGAGCATAACAACATTCGTGTACCCAAGAGGTTAAGGATTGTGTATGTTATGGGCATGGTAAGATAGCCTCAGTTTACTCAATTTCACTCTAGTGAGAATTCAGGCTTGACTTGATTGAGCACCCAGATTTCTGCTTTTCTGGATGGCTTTTATATTTGTACAGCTCTCCTCCAACAACTCATTCCTGCATTCTGTGGAGTGAGCATAACAACATTCGTGTACCCAAGAGGTTAAGGATTGTGTATGTTTCTCCATTGTATGTGTTGCACTCACTCACACTTATGCATCACTATTTCATTTAAGTCCAAAGCAGCCCTTCAAAATATTTTGGTTTAGAGAGTCTACAGCCATATCCTAGCTGTTCTTGCTTCTGTCATTTTCCAGCAACCAAGGTACAGATCAAGTGCTCATCTTCTGAAATCTTCTCACATGGGGTACATCAAGGAATTTGTGTGTAGTGTATCTACACTTAAACTTCCCTTTTAAAAAGCCAGGAAAGTCAGAGTCCACATTTAATCTGCAATAAATATATGTATGCTCTTAAGTATATATTAAAAAGTTGGGATCCTTTTTTGTCCTTTGAAGATCTGACTTTCCTGGCTTTTTAAAAGGGAAGTTTAAGTGTAGATACACTACACACAAATTCCTTGATGTACCCCACGTTGGCTTAGACCAAACAGGTATCTAGCGTAGCGATGTTTCCACTCCTGACCACGGCAGAAACTTTTGCAAACAGGGCATGAAAGCAGCCCTCCGCCATCTGGCACCTCCAGGTGAACTATCGCTGAAAATGGAGTCTCCATTTAACTACTGTATCTCCTTGAGAGAGCCGTTTTCCTCAAACCTCCCCAAGGAAGAGCTGCACGGCGCTTTTCATCCCTTGACAGGTGTGTGTGTGAGGGGGGGGGAGGTATCTCTCTCCAGGTGTGGCCCGGCCCAGGCGAGGCTTGCTCTGACAGCGCGAGGGGGTGTTGCCTTCAGCATCTGACGGGCTCGGCGAGGAGTCTCCCGCGCGCTCTCCCTCCTGCCCACGAATGAAAAAGCGTCGCGCGCCCAGGCGCCGGGGCGAGATGCCCGCTGGAGCTGCCGCCCGCTGGCCGCGATGTTGCACTGGAATGAGGAAGTGGAGTGGAGAGGGGAGGGACTGAGAGCGGAGCTGCCTCCTGCCCTTTCTGCCGCCCTGCTTGGGCGAGGAGCGGCGGCGGCGGCGGCGGCACAGGCACATGGAGCTAGTGCTGGCGAGGTCTGGGCGAGTTGTCGGCAGCCAGCTCCGGCCAGAGCAGGTACCGTATTTGCGCCCCAGAGTGCGCGCGTCGAAAATTTGCTTTCCCTTTGGTTTGGCATTTCGGACTGGCGCCGGCCGCTGTTTTTCTCTCTTTCTCTCACAACACCTGTTTGAGCTCTTGGCCAGCGAACTTTCTGGACGGGAAGCAAAAGTTTTGGTAAGAAGTGAGAGGAAGGCGGAGAGTAGCTTACCAAGAAGTTCGCGCGCTCGGAGCAAGTGGCAAGGAGTTCCTTCTTCTGTCCCGAGTTCTCCTCTGTTATGTCACAGCTCATCGCGAATAAATGCTACGTTGAATTCGATTTAGTTTACAGTCGGAAACTACAAAATATTTGCATAGAAAAAAAAGGGGGGGACGTTAGTAACTTTTAAATGGATGGACTGGCTAAACGTAGGAGTTGGTTTTTCTGCTTTGGGAGGAAGGCGCTTGCACTTTTTTTGAAAAATAATAATAATAGCAAAGTGATCTATTTCTGTCTGTCAACAAGAGATGAAGAGTTTGGGTTACTGATTTTAATTTCTAAAGTGATAATCTCAGCAAAGGGGCTATTTCAGTGTGTAAAAATCTAAACTTGAAGGGAAAACTACAAAAAAACTAAGTCAAAAGAAAAAGATATGATAAGCAGGCAATAAGTTTCAGAAGCCCTTGAGGAAAAATGCAGGGTTTTTTAATTGTTATGTAAATGCTAAAACTATTTCGTTATAAGTTTTTCAGAAATTATGGCTACATATGCCTACGAAAAGTAGTAAACATTACAAATCATCTTATCATTGTTCACAAATGGATGAAAAGAAGATAATGGATATTTTGTAAGGGGATGTTCATTCAGAGATCCAAAGAAGGTAATTGAAGGCTAATTCAAACCCAAGAGATGAGCCATGTTAGCTGTATCATGGCTAACATTCCAAATGGTAGCCGCTGGAAGCAAACTCAGCAATGTCCTGTGAAAGCCTAAACACATGCTTAGTCTTAGACGATGTAGGCAAGACCCTATTTTATCAGATGCAGCTTATAAACTATGGAAGCATTTCTCACAAGTAAACACATATCCATAGACCATGTTCACTAAAATGCAGATTTATGCAATTTACACTGAAATCTTATTTATGTCTATTCAGTCCCATTGACTTAAATAAAGTTTGTTTTGCTTGTGAAAGGATGTAAGACAGCAATCATAAACAACCTTTATAGTTATGTATTAAAGAGTGGTGTTAAAGGGGTTGTAAAAAATAATTCAAGACTTACTGAAGCTAGTAGAACATTAGATATTAGAATGTGTGTTACCAGAAAATTGACATGCAAAAGAAGTTAGGATTAAACATTTTCAGCAGGTATTTCAGAGTGAGTTTCCTTCATGTTCATGAAGAAAGAGTTTATATTAATATTCTATATACTATTTTAATTTCTTGTTACTGGATTTTGAAGGAAAAAATGATAAGCTTCTGTGTTTTTGAATAAATACTCATGCTGTAGGCAGCATTTTAAACAAACAATTAGCATTGGGTTTTGATTATTGTATTAACAGTTTAGTTTAAGGGCCAAATTGTTGTTTTCATGACGAAACTGTCATTTGGCTAATAGGTTGTCTAATAAACATTTTTGAAAACCAATATGATCTGTGAATTTTAAAAGGCAGACTGGGTTGAATGTAGTTAGAAAAAGTGCTTTTAAAAAGTTTCTTAGAAGTTTATTTCTCGTCAATATTACGTTACTTACTTGTACTTTTACAGATAATTTTTATCAGTAGAAAGTATGCGCACTTATAAAAATTGGAGTGGCTAACAATAGCAGTGTTTTAAAATTGTATGAACCACTGGAGCAATAAGAAAATTGGTTCAAAAGCTAAAACTTAGACACTTTTTAAAAAAGTAATATTATTGTACCAAAAATGTATTTGCTTTGTGCTACATAATGTAGGGCTCCAGATTATTTCTGATAAGTGTATATCAAGAAGTAAAAAAGAAAGAATGAGGAGGTCTACAGTGATTGTCAACAAGATAGGTAGCAAAAGATAGGTGTTGTTAGTTGCACAGTATGAAGCCAAACTAAGCATTTTTAGGAAATTTAAAACTAGATCATTTCCTACATTTATTGGCATATATGGCACATCCTCCAGTCAGGAAAAAAAATGTGTTTTAGGGCAGGCATATTAGCGATTAGGATGTTTGAAAACATGAGCTTTTTTGCACAATGGAAATGTATATTTTATAACGTATCCAGGTATAGTGTAGTCAAAGTGAACAATTTAAATGGTGCTTGAGTTCCTCCTTGAAATTACCTTCATGTAAAACTGCAGTCCTGAGCAAATATGGTTAGAGGTGAAAGGGATTATTTTCATTATGTATGAAAAAAATCCACAGCATCCAGGTTGTAAAATGGTTTTAGAAGTGTGTTTCAGATTATCAAAGTCGCAAAAATAGGTTGCACCCTACCTTCAGTTTAGGTTATTGGGCTGGGTGCACTACAAGTTTCCTCTTTCTGAAGAAGTGGAATTCTTTATGCAAAGCATTGAAACTAGGTTGAAGTGACTGATTTAACTCTGTTTCCTCAGATGTTCTTCCCAGACAAGTAAATTTGTTCCATTTTGTCCACTTACATTTTATATATTAATAATTAAATGAAAGAAACCATAGACCTGTATTTAATGGGGGAGGGAGATTAGGGTTGGTCTTCCGGGATGCAACATGGTCTGTTTCATAATGGGCAAAGTTTTTGCACTGGATTCAAAGACGTCTGAGAAAAAAACTTCAGCGCTCCCTAGTACTTTTAAGGTCAGATTCCTGTCTTTAAGCAGAATCAGTTGTTTTATACTTAAGAGCATACATATAATTATTGCAGATTAAATGTGGACTCAAAATATAAAAAGTTATTTTCCAGGTCTAAGGGATAGATCTTTTTATCAAAAAAATCTTTTTATGATAATGTGTTTGATTATCCATGAGTAGAAAAAGCTCTCCAAAGAAACACTATGTTCCATGTTACTATGGGTGGCTAAGGGATGGCATAAGCCTGCTGGCAGATGTTTGTACCTTCTTTGCAGTTAAAGAGCTACATCCAGTTTTAATACCAGCTAGAGTAGATCCTTTGAAATGAATGGGACGTGATACACATATAATGTAGGCCACATCCCTTTCAGTGGGTTTAGCTGGGACTAGAATTGTATTTATCACCATGAAACATTTCATATTAAATGTAGGTTGAATATTGATTTGGCTTGATTACTGAGACTATTGTTATTTTAATTTTTAATAAAAAGTTGTGTTCTCATCCAAATACTTCAGATTCAGTCTTTTTAATATTTTAAAATTTAATGTATACTGTTAAGATTTTCAGCCCACCCATACCCATATTAGGAAGGGCAGCTTTCAGGTCTACTTGAAAATGTAGCATACAAATTAAAGGAAGGAACAAATTTGGCAATCTACATGTTTGCCATGGAGGGCATACTTGTCAGTTTCTATGTCCAAAGTTTTATGATTCTAATTATCTGGCACATTGATGCTATGCCACTGTAGTGCTATATATCTGATCTTTCATTGATATGGTTAAACCTTTTTAGGGTTCTTATCTACTAGAATAGTTGTAAGCACTCATAGTTTTTTTGTTTTAAGGGTCCTGCATCGACGTTTTTGCATTATGTAGGTTGGCTTATATGTATTTGGTTGGTTGAATGTAAGTGATGATCAACTGAGTATTATTCTCGTAGGTAAAAACAAAAAATATAAAAGTATACAAATGTGGTGACACCATAGAGACGGTTATATTTTAATGTGAGCTTTCGTGGACAAGCCCACTTCCTCAGACATATATCTGAGGAAGTGGACTTATCCAAAAAAGTTCACATTGGAATATAAGTCTCTAAGGTGCCACCATGTTTTTCTTTTTTATTTGTTCTCTTACTTATATATATTATTTTTTTTTGTTTTTACCTAGGAGAATAGTACTCAGTTAATCACAATCTACATTCAACCAACCAAATACATTTAAATAAACCTGCATAATGCAAAAACGTCAACACAGGTCCCTTTTAAAAATAAACTATGAGTGCTTAGTATTTATAACATTTACCATTCATAGTTAAAATGGACTATCGTTAATATTTATTTTTTCATTCACTCTTATTGTAATGGAGCAGAAAAAAAAAAGAAATGTGCCTTTAAATCTCAGTTGTGTGAATTTAAATATCCTCCCAATCAAATTGTTTAAAGTTTGCCCACCTAAATATTTATTATTTGTGCACCTTAATACCAGGATGTTTCCTTAAAGTTAGCTACTTTTAAAATAGAGATATTTGTTTGAGGCTCTGACAAAAAAGATTTTCTGAATTTTGTCCAAGTTTGTCAAAGAGTGCTATTATTTTTAGGAGGCCCGATGTGGAAACCCCTAAGTAAAGTTTTGCAGATTGTCTAATTCAAGTAAGTAGAACAGAAGATGGATTAACCGTTTCTGAGTTGTTTTGGTTCCTTTCAAAATCACAGGGATCCATTTCCCCCAAGGAAATATGTTTGGAACGCTGGCACCAAGACTGCAATAGCAGAGAGGTACTACCAAGCGTGTTTCATATGCTGTCTCTAATTGTATGGTGGCTTTGATCCTACATGGGATCCTACAGAGTTTTCACATGTCCTTAATATGCCATTTCTGAACATCAGGATAAGGACATGCATCAACTCCTTTCCTTTTTATTAACATTCACTGTTGGGTTTTTAAAAATTAATTTTCAAAACCCAGTTTTAATTTTCAAAATCCAATTATTCATTCATTCATTAAAAATTAATTTAGCTGAGACTATTTGCATACCAACAACTTTCCTGAAATTTATAGTAAGCAGAAAACCCATGATTCTGGATTCTGCAAGGAAAAAACACAACAGGAGGCATGTGGATTCATGCCTTTTTGTACCCTGAGAAACACAAGCGATTTACTTTAACCAGTCTCCAGTTTTATTAGCCAGGAATTGTGATGACCCTTTAGGGTACGAAGGGTAGAAAACTACAAAA